GTTAAATTTACTGCCACCCATTTTTACACCTTGGTGGAGAGAGGCACAGTGAGAGTAAAGTGTCTTTCTTAAGAACACAGCACAGGTTCAAGCTCTGAGAAAGCTCAATCCAGAGGCGAGTACGCTAACCATGAGACCACTGTACCTCCACTGTTTGTGTAGCTGTGATATTTGAAAATTCTCTCAAAATTGCATGAACCTTTTGCCTTAAGAATATAGTTCAGGAATGTTGTTACCAAAAACATCTCTTTATTTGCTCTTCAGGGTCAGATGAATATGGTTGGTGGTTTTCAACAGAAGATGACACATATGACCCTCTTAGTCCTTCTGATGTTTCTAAAGGCTATGATGAATCAATTGAACTTGTCAAATCAACTTTTCTTAACCAGGTAATTATGCATTAATAAAAATTTATGGTAATATCTCACAGATTAGATCAACCATTTCTTAACACAAATTAGTAACTCCCCCTACCCCTGTTTCCAAAAAAAAAATGAAGCAAACAAGAAAAATCTTTCCGGTGAAATTTCATTCTTTTCACCAGACATCCCTCATATTTGGTGCATTTTACATACCCTATGTTTGTGTAAGTAATGGACAACGACTGGTATTTTGTGTCTGAGCTTTTCTAGTTATACTGAGAATAATTCAAATATGTTTTATTTTATGCAGTACAATTCCTTCTTTAATGTCTTTTTCTCACTAAAACCACTCTTTATGATTTTTTGCAGGGACCATTTGATGGTAGGTAAATTATTGCTAATGTATTTGTACAACTATAATATATTTGTTTCATAATTTCAGTCACATTGTACAAAATCTCTCTCCTCTATGGAGACTCAAAAGGTGGTTTCTCATGTAGGGAGAGCTTCCTGAGAGATGTGAGTGCAAATAACATGGATCATATGGTCTTTAAACTTTTGCACCTGCACTCTGACACCTTGCAGAATGGTTTCTATAATGAGCACTAGAACCTCCAGCTTTGCAGAGGAGAGAGATACAAAATCACACCCTGGGATAGTTTACAATGAATAATAAAAGCATTTCTCTCAGTTTTTAAAGTTGAGTTAAACTTCATCTGAGGAGACCTGGCATGTGGTTGAACAAATGAACTTTTTTTTCTGGCTTGTTTATGGAGTATGCTTTTTCTTTCCTTTTTTCCGATTTGCTTCTCTTTTTTTTTTCCTTTGCTGTTTTAGTGATTTTTTTGCTTTTTTTTTTTTGTTTTGTTTTGTTTTGTTTGCTATTTTGTGCTGACCTGGTGTTTAAACAGCTGATAATTGGATGAATCACTTTCCAGGTGTGATCCACTGTACTGTGACTTGATTATATAATCAGTCCATTTGAACAACTAGACCCTCTTGTTAGTCATGCATTTTTGTTACTAGTAGGATGTGTAAATTATTTTTAGTACACAATTTGAAAAATTTGCTTTCACGACCATTCAATTTCTGCAAGATTAAGTGTGCGTTTTGAAAGCTTTTTTCACTTTTTTTTTTATTTTTGTTTTTCTTTCCCCATAATTAGGTGTTCTTGGTTTTAGTCAAGGAGCCTGTCTATTAGCAATTCTCTGTGCATTAAGAGAACAAGGTATGTTTAGACATCATAGATATTAAGATATTTAATAAGACGAAGTGCTTAAGACCTTCACCAGGAAGTGAGGAATTTCTAGAATATATCACAATATAAAGATTTTTATTTATTTACTACCTTACATTGAAATAATTTCTTTTATACATGAGTTCTATAATTATAATAATTACCATAAACACAGGGTCATAACCACACAAAATTATTTTTGAGACAATATTATCCAAAGGAAAAAATCCATTTTGTTCTGCATAGTCTCTTCCACGATCATGAAATTATTAATAATGGTAATAGGACTGAGTGGAGTCCAATTCGGTCTGTAATCATACAAGTGATTAACAAAATCGGACAACCGCAAAGCGGGAGTCTGATTTGTTAATCACGAGTATGATTACAGACCGAATTGGACGACACAATGTCCTGTTACCAATTAATCAAAACTATGAAAAAATTCGAGAAATGAACAAACCATGGATTGATAGCTGAACGATTAAACATCGTTATGAATGCTGAAAAAAAAACAGCAGTTTACTCAACAAAGTGCACCGCAATAGCGTGCGCAAAATGACGCGCACTGTCCAATTAATGTTCAAATCGGGCTGCTGATAGCCAATCATGTTCGAGAATTTTGTTATAGTTTTGATTAAGTATTTAACTAACCTCATAATAATATTGTTTACTGCAGCAAATGCCTTGGTTTGCTGCCTGTTACTGGCCATGTCCATGAAACATGTTTAATTATTTAGCATGTTTTCTTAAACGTGATGTTGAATTATGTGATCATAACTTTCATGTTAGACATTTGAGTGACAATGAAATTTGTAGTAAGAAAAGTTTTACAGGGACTTCTTAATAGCCTGATTCTCAGATGGTCCAGGTCGCTTGCAGCCACACTCTCTTCCTTCTGAGAAAGCACCTGGTCAGGAGCGATCTGGACTGTCTGAGAATCAGGCTAGGACCTCTACTGCCGGAACATAATTTTAAATGCATTGTGTTCCAGGTTCTTTAAGTTTTAAATTTGCCATTCTTGTGGCCGCCTT